AGGAAGCTAGAGATAATAAGATAAAGTAGCGGCTTTTGGAAATGATATACATGAAGTAGCCTAAGCCTATATAGATATGGATCCTATCTAAGCATGCATCTGGAGGAAGAGATTGAGCCTCGCGATGGAGAAAACATGATAAACGCTACATTAACATTACAGAGAACAGAGAGCTCGTAGGCTTTGTGGATAAGCCCGGTTCTTCTTTTTGAGAAAGACTTGTCTATTAGTCGTATTCTCAATCCTCTTGATCTGAAGCTTCACTCTCCCCATTCCTAAACTAGCTTTTACAGGTTTTTTAGTCGTACCTTTCCATTTCTATTTTGCTATTTTGGAAAACCTAGCTAGCTACTTGTATGGGAAAGTAATCAATATGATGGAGAAATATGACGAACATTTCCCTCTCATCATTCACATAATAACTCAAGATACAATTACATGGATGAATAGAAGTTAGGAGAGAAAAACTAAAGGAGAAAGATAAGGAGCAAAATCTTACCAGAGTTTTTGTCACTGTCAGGTCCCTGGCCTGACACACACACAGATACACATATCAAATTAAATATATTCATTAGCATAACAAACATTTTGTTCTTGAGAATAATTTTATTTTATTTATTTTGATTGATTTATTAATAAATTGTGTTTTTTATTATTTAATTATTCTAACCCATTTAACGGGAAAAATTATTGTATAGAAGATTTCTCATTATTGATTAATTTGATTTTATATTTATCAAAGGCTGAAGCTTTCATTGTCAACCACTTATAAAACTAGATTGTCAAGATATAATGTTGAATAATAAAGTTTAATTTTGAAGATAATCACAAACATTAAAAGCAAAAAACAAAAAATCGTATAAAAGAAAAGAAATTTGTATGGATAATGCGAAAGAGAAAACACGAATGATGAGCTATAATGTTGAATAATAATTTTGAAGATAAGAACAAAGATTAACACGCTCCCTCATTGATCATAAAACCCCAACACCCACAATCGGATAGAGTATTTTTGCTTATCACTTTAACTCAAGGTGTACCCTCACCACCCTTCTTAATATTTGACACGTGTCCATGGGAACCCATGAACATGGTCTCATGAACACGTGTCAAATATTGAGAAGGGTAGTGAGAGTACGCATGGGTTAAAGTGGTGATAAAAAATATTTCCACAATCGGAACACTCAAATCATCAAAGTCAACCCAAAAAAGAATCATTTATCTAGATTCTTTCATCAACGCCATATTTAAGGATTTTTATCACAAATGGTCACTAAGGTTTGCAAAATTATCACTTTTGATTCTTTATGTTTTTTTTGACATTATTGGTCCTTTATGTTACACCTCACACATCAATTTGGTCATGTTATTTAGGTTATGTTAAATTGATGACGTGGCACGTATGTGGTTCCCACATATCCAATGAGATAATGTCACATGGATCTAAATAAAAATTATTTTTAAAAAAAAATGGTTTAACATTTAAAATCTAAAAAAATTAGAAAACTAAATTAAAGAAAAGAAAACAGAAAAATTGCAAAACCGAACCGCCGGTTTCTTTAGAGATTTTGGCAAAAATCGAACCACCCCACTGGAAAAAGGTTCCAATTCCTGAAAAAATGCTGAGAAAGCTATATTGTTTGACTGAAAACAAAGAATTTTTATTTGTTTATGCTAATTTATTCATCATATATATTCAATTTTTAAAGGTTTATGTCCTTTAAGGTGGAAGTTTCAATACAAAAGGAATGTCAACTCGAATATCTCCAGGTTAGGGGAGAAAAATGTTCTTCCATTAATGATTTAAGGTAGACCCATACTATGATAAAGATTGCACGTACAAATTCACAACGTTGTTTAACTTGTTCTTTTTAGTATTGATGAGAAATATAATTAACTTGTATGACAGAATCCAAAAAAGCATATATTGAATGAAACATTAGCATCCCTACTATACTAAGAATAAACATATCTAAAATACAAGACCCAAAAGAGTAGATAACACAAAGACGGTGACACCCAACCCAAGTTTCGAAAAATGAATGCTTAGAGCTGAGCTTGGCGACATCATTTCAGAATGAGGAGCAGGACCACTACTTTGATCAAAGCTTGGAGACACTTCTGAATGAGAAGCTGAAGGTGAGGATCCATAAGGTGCCGGGCTTGGACTTACAAAAGAGCCATCTGGTGTAGGTAGGGTGGCCGTGATCTCAACCCTTTGTCCGGCTTGACAATGGCCAGGAGCACCACACAAAAAGTAAAAGTTGCCGGGCATTTCAAGGGTAATGGTGTCGGATCCCGATGTATAGACTGCGATCGGAGAGGTAGGGTTGCAAGATTCGTAATCTTGGTTAGTAACTTGCATCACGTTGTGGAATTGATTGTTGTAAGCAAATATGAGTGTGTCGCCAACATGGAAGTCTTTTGTTGAAGTCCACTCGTTGTAATCAACAAGGCCTCTAGAAGACCAACCACTAGAGTCACCAACTCTATACACAACACCAAAACAAACACCGCATAAAGCAAGCATAACCAAGAAAATCAGTGTACTTTTTTCCAAAGCCATGAGTAGACAACAAAAAGGAGAGCGGATTAAAGAGCAGAAAAATGATCGAGTGATTGATCAAATTTGTGTTAAGGGAACGAAGAGCTGACTGAAATTTTGCGTGAGAGTAGACTGTGGGGTGCCCTTGCATATATAGTGTGTATCTATTAGCCGACTCCAACATGGAGTAGGTTTCCAACTAGTAGTTACAGTAGGATTTTTTTTATTTTAATTTCTTCATAACAGAGTTAATTATAACTAGTGCTCATCTGTCAGATAATGATTTATGCCCATATAGTTGTTGCTAATTTTCCCTTGAGCCAAGTTATCTAAGGACTTAAAATACATTAAAAGATAAAATGAAAAAAAAAAAATACGAAGACAGTTTTTTCTCCAAAAAAATATATATAAATTAAAAATTAAAAGAGAGAGGTATATCAAATTAGGATCCCTTTGTGTAATTAATACCTTGCATGCATACGTCCATAGACACTGCAGTTACTTGGATTGGATATATGAACTGGTATCACAAAAACAGAAAAATTAAAAGAAAAGAAAAAAAGAAGCCAACAGTCGAGTGTGCAATAATCCTCGGAAGCAATTTGTACTTTAAATTATTGGAAGGATTTGATGCTAATAGTATTAAGAGGGAGCTGTTTTAGGTTTTGAATGAAAGTGAAGTGAAGGTTAGGAGTGGTACTGTGATTTTTTTATTTATAAATAAATAGTATAGCCGCGCGGCTATACGTTTTATAATATTATATTTAAACAGTATAGCCGAACGGCTATACTATGTATTAAAAACAATTTTAAAAACCCGAGTATAGCCGACCGGCTGTACTGTCGGAAAATATTATATGTAAATAGTGCGGCGGCGCGGCTGTACTATTTATTAAACTTTTAATAAAAACCCGAGTATAACCGCGCGGCTATACTATTTATTTAAAAAAAATTTAAAATCGACTATAGCCGTACGGCTGTACTCTGTAAATACCCCTTTTCCTTACTAATTTTTCTTTTCCGTGATTTTTGTATACTCTGAAATAAATACCCCTTTTCCTTATTAATTTTTCTTTTCCGTGATTTTATTTTATCAATAAGAGTAGTTTAGAGTATTATCCATTACTATTAGGCCACTACCCGAGTTTTTATTATCCCCTTTTTAGTTTTAACTTTTTCATAGTTTTTACCTGTATAAAGAATTTAGCATTTTCTTGTTTAATACTCATATTATACACATACATACGCATTTTTTAATAATATTTCCATTTTTTGTCAAGGCAGCAAATATACATTGGTTAACTGAAAACGAAGAAAATGATAATTTTTTCAATCAATGTGTATTTATTCATCCTATATAATTAAATTGTTCAAAGGTTAATTTATTTAAAATGACACCTTTTTAATGTACGCGAGTGAATATGAAGTTCTATTATGCGTTCTCCCACTCACAACCCTCAACTGCTTGCACACAAGAAGTTTATTTCTTTTTCTTTTCTTTTTCAATGAAGATATATAATTAAATTGTTCAAAGGTTAATTTATTTAAAATGACACCTTTTTAATGTACGCGAGTGAATATGAAGTTCTATTATGCGTTCTCCCACTCACAACCCTCAACTGCTTGCACACAAGAAGTTTATTTCTTTTTCTTTTCTTTTTCAATGAAGAGCCAAAATGCTTTTCTTTTTTTTTTATCCCTTTTGTTTTGTTTTGTTTTTTTTTTTTAATGATGATGAATACCTACGTTTATCAAAATCGCATGTATAAATTAAGTTCTTTTCATTAATAGGCTCATTTATGACATATTATATAATTACCTGTATAGAGTTTATTTGAAGGTAAAATCTCAAAACTTGCCACTTGTTATTTTCTAATTGGTTCTTAGTGTGTTAAAAAATTTCTATGAGAAAGTTCATTGCTGCAAATTAGTTGTTTAATTTTGTAGTACAAAGCAGTGACACACAGGGACACGAACCAAAAAATATAGAAACCCAAATAAATTGAAAAATGTTATATATCAAACCTAACCCTACATCCTCATCTTCCGACCAAAAAAAAAACCCTACATCCTCATCTACCCCAGGAATTGAAACATTAACACCCGTACGTACAATAATATTAAGAAACCTGTCTAAAGTACAAAACCCAAAACACATAACACAACAGTGGTGAACTCAAGCTTCAAAAGACGAAGAGTAGGAGCACTGCTTAGAAACAACACTTCAGAAGAAGGCGATGCTCCATAAGGTGCCGGGCTTGGGCTTGCAAACGAACCATCTGCAGATATAGGCAGCGTGACGTTGATGTTGACTTTTTGTCCATGTTGGCAATGGCCAGGAGTACCACAGAGAAAGTAAAAATGGCTGGACCTATTAAGGGTGACAGTGTCAGAGCCAGAGGTGTAGGTTGTGTTGCAAGATTGGAAATCTTGGTTGGTAACTTGCATCACGTTATGGAATTGACTGTTATAAGTAAATATGAGGGTGTCGTTGACGTGGAAGTCCTTTGTTGAAGCCCACTCGTTGTAATCAACAAGGCATCTAGAAGTCCAGCCATTAGAGTCACCAACTCTATAAATAGCACCAAAACAAACACCATAGAGAGCCATTGTCACCAAAAGTCTCAGTGTAATACTCTTCATCAAAGCCATGACTAGAAAACAAAGGAGGGCGAATTAAACAGCACAAAGAGATCAAGTGATAGCTGACTCAAATTTTACGAGAAGGGTAGTTTGTGTGGCCTTGCATACAAATACCTTGTGTTTAAGCCATTTCTAAATGGAAAAGGTTTCCAAATAATGGTAGGAAATATATGTTTTACCAAATAGTTAACCAATTTTCTTAATTTCCTTTCTTCTTGGCCATATTGGATTTCAACAAGTCTGTAGGCTTCTTGGTTCCTAGTCTAAAAGCCCTTAATTTTCTACTAACAGACAAACTAATGATTTGATTAAACAAATATCTAAGTATTTAAGGGGAAGGTCAGTGGGGTATATCTCTTTTGGTTGAGCTCTTCCACCTCCACCATGTGGTCGGAGGTTCGAAACCACCAGGCACCCAATGATAAAATGTGTAAATCCCCTTCCCCAATTGCTTGCACTAAATAAAGGAACGGGGGTTTGGGGGAGGATAAAAAACACTTTTTATTTTTTGGTAGACTGGGCCCAAGGGCCCAAAAGTACAAAAAGAACTACATGCAGGCCCAAATTAAACATACTAGGGCTCGATTTCACAATTTATATCTTTTTCGATGAGGCTATATAATATCTGATTTGAAGAAGCAAAAACTTGGTTCCAAAACATTATTAACAAAATTTCACAGCACCAAACAGGCAACTGCAATTCAAAGTAAAAGGAACCAAAGAAAAGAAGAAAGAAAGCTGTGAAGAATACAATCAATTAAGGATGGTCATCATTAGCACAAATTTCAGGAGTAAATTGGAGCGCATGAGTGTTGAGATCGTAGATGAGCCTCATACTTTGCTGATGCCATGCTCCTAGTATAGATTTCCTATTACCTGGCATCATTGCTACGCAAAAATGACCTGCCTCATGATTATAAAAGTTCACATATCTTGGATCAACAACATAATTAGCACCCTCAAAGTGGTATGTCATAGAGGCAAATTGAGTAAACTGCGGCGTATAGCTGTAACATAATTGAAACCCTTCAGGCACCCGACCAATTCTGGTAAGATGGAGAGAATCATAATAGTTTTGAAATGCCCTCATAACCTCCCGGTACGTGTTACGTCCATTGGCATTTTGATCAAGTTGAGAGATTAGGGCACCTGAATCAATGAAGAAACCACGGGTACCACTTTGACTATATATATGCAAAGGTACCCGGTGGAAACCCTAACTTGCCTGATCCAACACTTATATCCAAAAGATTTAAGTTGTAAAATGGAGATCCTGGTGGTGTTACAAAAGGAGTTGTGCTAATACCTCCATGTGGTGCTGGTATATCATCCCCGAACCTTACCACACTAGGAGCCATTTGTGCTTCAGTAAAAGGAACCAAGCAATATGAGAAACGTCTTTGGGTTTGATCAGCCAACTGGGACAATAGTGAATCAGGGTTCAAGCTTAACCCCAACACCCCCGAAATGACACCATTTTTCGCAAATTGAATGTTTCGATTGTCGTTCGAACAACAAAAGACTATGTCAGCAACGCGTAGAGTGGTTGTGATGTTAAATGGAAATGTGAATATTTCAATAGAAGCTATACCTCTAGTCAATGCCCCACCACCATAATTGATGTTGTAGACACATTCGTCGTTAACACATTGGTAAAGGGCCCGGGGACCTTGACAAAAGTGGTGGTTGCAAGCAAGCTTTCGATAACTCCACGATTGTGCTGAATCGTAAATGGGAGTTGCTTGTGGGTAACAATTTTGACAAGGTTTGCACTGCGTCCAAATTAGGCTACCGCCGGTATCCAAAAGTAAGAACACAACTGTGGCTGGGGATCCAATGCCGACTTGCACCATGTAGAAGAAGTTGTCACGAAGCAAAGTAAGACTTATATTGTCAAGTTCTATGGTGGAATTTGAAGATGAAATTAAGTCCAAATAGTGAGATCTGGCTTCGGAGAACTTGATCATTCTTTGAATTCGTTCAAGTAGAGTGAGGTTTCCAGGGTACAAAGGAGATTCAGGAGCCTCTCTGGGGATGAGCTTGAGGCTGAAACCATTTGGTTTTGAATATGTTGGATGGAATGCAGAGATTGTGATGAGACAAAGAAAGAGAGTTATGTGAAGAACAGATGAGACTCCAGCCATTTTGGTTAATGTATGAAGCATTTGGGGACTGCGATAGCTAGACTTATAAAGTAATCTCCAAATGCATATAGCACCATATCTAGGCTGTTTTCTTTTTTTGGTAAGTCATGTGAACAATATCATGGCCAATTTAATAACACATTTATTCCCGTATATGGAAATCTTTTTTCTCGTTTTATTTATGTAAGGATTTTCCCATGTAAGTCTTTTTCTCCCTTTCATGTCTTTATGTGAACATTAAAAAAAGAAGAAAAAAAACTTAGCAATTACCATGTATGGTGATGACTTTTTACAGTTAATCGAGATAGAAAACTTATCACAGGTGTTAACCCCAAACTGGAAAATAATTATTTTTTTACATTGCTAGAGCTCGAGTAAAACCTATTTGGCCTGAGACTTTGTGAAAATCATTTTCTACATCAGACCGATATGAGGTAATTCATTAAATATAGTAAGGGATGAGATCCCCAAAATCCAGAGTGTAATTGAAATAAATTAATGAATATTAATAGTGTTGATGGGCATTTTTTTAAAATATAAGTCTAAACTACAAAGGGGATGGAGTTTCTCACATACACACACTACCAAAGTGCCATGGAGGTTCGAATCTGAGGCCACTGATCTGCAAGTCAAGGCCCTTTTCCACTGGGTTAGACCGTATTGGCACGGGCATTTTAGACATACATAAAAAGACATATAATAATATTAGAGTTCTACTATTTCCACCATCTGTCATATTTCCCCACCCACCTTATTTTAAAAATTTTAAAGGCAAATTTACTCATTTGTAAAATGACTTCTAAGAACTTAGGGAAAAAACCTAAATGAAATAAATTAATGAATATTAATAGTGTTGATGGGCATTTTTTTAAAATATAAGTCTAAACTACAAAGGGGATGGAGTTTCTCACATACACACACTACCAAAGTGCCATGGAGGTTCGAATCTGAGGCCACTGATCTGCAAGTCAAGGCCCTTTTCCACTGGGTTAGACCGTATTGGCACGGGCATTTTAGACATACATAAAAAGATATATAATAATATTAGAGTTCTGCTATTTCCACCCTCTGTCCTATTTCCCCACCCACCTTATCTTAAAAATTTTAAAGGCAAATTTACTCATTTGTAAAATGACTTCTAAGAACTTAGGGAAAAAACCTAAATTCACATAACCCACCTATTCCATAGTTTGACAAAAAGAAAAAAGAAAAAAAAAAGCGTAAGACCCATCATCTTGTTCTCCTCCCTCCAACGACACACACAGCGACGCTATAACCACCATCCTTTCTCCTCCACGTCCTTCTTGCTGCTCCTCGCTGCTCACATGAGTCGACCACTCCATGATGAATATGTCAATACTTCAAGTGCTTGTATTCATTAGTTCATACTTTTTTTGCAGTATGGTTACCCATGTCAATTGCTTTGTTAAAGGCAGACAATAACCTTCCTCTTTGGCGTACTGGATTGAAAGAGGTGGAAATGCTTGAATTAATAATTAAAGAGTATTTTAGGAATAATGGTTGGTGGAAAGATAGGATTATCTTTTTTCAAATTTAAATGAGTGGAAAGATGTGGGTGAGGAATTAGGACAGTAGGTAGAAATAGCAGCACTCTAATATTAATGCTAACTTGGTGACATGTACAAAAGTGAAAACGCCTAAATCAAAAATAAGAAGGTCGCTCACCAAAACAAAAAGGCCACAAATGTTTAACTACAAGTTGAATTCGAATCCTCTACTTTATTTTTCTTTGCTTGAATGTGCTTGACTTTTAATCTGAATTTGTCACCTCATTAAAAAAAGGGCTTGTTCAATATAGGTCCCTAAAAATTCTATTTCCTAGACATATACCCATCTATATCCATTTGTATCAAATTAATTTGAACCTATGTTTTAACATCTCCTACATTATCTACACAGTTGGTATTTCGTCAAACACGTGATGTGCAAAAATTAAACACACACCCAACTTCTTGTTGGAAAAAAAAAATGAATTGGGTTTTCTAAAACATTTTTACCTAATCTCAAATTCCTAATTATTGCTGGGTTTTTAGTTTGCTCTTCCTAATTTAGTGTACACAAAGAAACAACCAGAGTGACTCCAAATGGTTTTTAGCCATTTTTTATAATGATTTTAGTGGTTTGAGATTAAGTATTCAAAAAGAAACAACCAGAGCGGCCCCACAATAATGGGTATAGGTAGGTACCTAATGAGTAATTTACCTAGTGGGGTGATGCAAATGATATATCCATGAAAATACAATTGGTCGTTTAGTTTACATGAGAGCTGAGTTGACTTTAGTCACAAGTTGTGTTCTAGCAACAGAAGCTAGAAAGATAATCGGATTGAAAGTTTACAATTCAATTCAAGTAAGTTCTAATTTCTAAACCCTAAGCCTCAATTCAAATAAATGAAACCTCGTCGTGGACAATTGTAACTTGTAATATTATTTTTGAGATTAATTATGAGTGAAAGTACTATCGTTTCATTTTCAATATTTTTTTCATCTTAAAAAATTATTAGGTAGTTTACACTATGACCCCATGAGTGGTCATTCCTGCATCCGCCACTGACCACTCCATGATGAATATGTCAATACTTCAAGTGCTTGTATTCATTAGTTCATACTTTTTTGCAGTATGGTTACCCATGTCAATTGCTTTGTTAAAGGCAGACGATAACCTTCCTCTTTGGCGTACTGGATTGAAAGAGGTGGAAATGCTTGAATTAATAATTAAAGAGTATTTTAGGAATAATGGTTGGTGGAAAGATAGGATTATCTTTTTTCAAATTTAAATGAGTGGAAAGATGTGGGTGAGGAATTAGGACAGTAGGTAGAAATAGCAGCACTCTAATATTAATGCTAACTTGGTGACATGTACAAAAGTGAAAACGCCTAAATCAAAAATAAGAAGGTCGCTCACCAAAACAAAAAGGCCACAAATGTTTAACTACAAGTTGAATTCGAATCCTCTACTTTATTTTTCTTTGCTTGAATGTGCTTGACTTTTAATCTGAATTTGTCACCTCATTAAAAAAAGGGCTTGTTCAATATAGGTCCCTAAAAATTCTATTTCCTAGACATATACCCATCTATATCCATTTGTATCAAATTAATTTGAACCTATGTTTTAGCATCTCCTACATTATCTACACAGTTGGTATTTCGTCAAACACGTGATGTGCAAAAATTAAACACACACCCAACTTCTTGTTGGAAAAAAAAATGAATTGGGTTTTCTAAAACATTTTTACCTAATCTCAAATTCCTAATTATTGCTGGGTTTTTAGTTTGCTCTTCCTAATTTAGTGTACACAAAGAAACAACCAGAGTGACTCCAAATGGTTTTTAGCCATTTTTTTTTTAATGTTTTTAGTGGTTTGAGATTAAGTATTCAAAAAGAAACAACCAGAGCGGCCCCACAATAATGGGTATAGGTAGGTACCTAATGAGTAATTTACCTAGTGGGGTGATGCAAATGATATATCCATGAAAATACAATTGGTCGTTTAGTTTACATGAGAGCTGAGTTGACTTTAGTCACAAGTTGTGTTCTAGCAACAGAAGCTAGAAAGATAATCGGATAACAGAAAGAACCCACAACAAGTCGACATAATAAAGAACCCACAGCACTTTAGTCACCAATCAGAATTTCAATGAACATAAAAACCTGGCAAACAAAGAATTAAAATGTTCTTAAAAAACGATGATCTGCTCTCAACACTATAATGACATCACCTGTTCTTTCTCCTAATAAGACTTTGCATCGGTCTTGTCGAGTAAGACTCTGCATCGTAATTTACCTATCTAAGAAATCAGATTTCTAAATATGCATAAATTACTTGTGTTATGCAGGGCAGCCCACTCAAGATTTAAGTCGTCGGCGCCGGAATAGTTTGTCGCAGTCAGTGTTGTCGGCATCGGAATCCTGGATGCAACAAGAACTCCCGTTAAGGAAAATCATGGCTTTTCTCAGAAAAATAAAACTGATCCAACAAATCACTATCCCTATGCAAAATACCATTATGCAAATTAAATTCATAATCAAAACTAATATGCATAAAGAGGATTGAAATTGCAAGCTAATTCGGTGGGAGGAAATCAAAACAATAAAATTCAGGAACCAAGGCTTAATACACCTCCCACATAACACGTTAAATTATAAATAGGGGTAGTTTTGGAATCCGAAAAATATAATAAATCAGATTTTAAGTTATATTAGGTAACTGCTGAGTTGGATCCTAGTGATCGGGTATTATTTGAAAAAATTGGATATTTTAAATAGAAAAATAAAAGGAAGGATTGTAGATGATTTTAAATGAATTTTATGGGAGTAACCTCAATTTACTATTAAAAAAACCATCCAAAGACTAAAATATGATAAAATGTTTTTTTTTTGTTGCTTTCTCAAGGAAAATCTGTTCTCGAAGAGTCTGACCCTTATTGGAGATTATGCAACCAGCAGAAAGAGATAAGTACCCTTCCTCAAATCAAATTCTTCATCATTGGGGATCTCTATTCAAGTTTCTTGTTTGTTTTTAAAATCAAGTTCTTATTAATGGATTCTTTTCTTCTTTCATTTTGATGCCTAAGAAGGCTTGATTGGAGACGTGTGGGTTAAATATGGTTTTCTTATGAATTGCATCGGCTAAATGATGAAGAAGAAGAAATTTTTTGGGGAGGGGAACTGTCGGCAAAGTGGATATAATCTTTTAAGGATTTCTTGGTTTTAAAAATATATCAGTTTTGGATTTTTTTTTATTCAGTAAGGTGATAAATTCGGGTTAAAAATCAAGCAGATCGAAGCAGAGGATTTGGATCCCTAAAGGATTTAGTGATCAAGGGATAATCCTAAAGCCCAAAAGCGCAGCAAGTGGCTTGTAGCTCATGTGGTTAGAATTATTTACTCATGCACCAAACTTCCTAGGTTCGATTCCTCCATCTCCCAATATCATTTTGTATATTAAAACAAATGCCCAAAAGCGCAAAAAAAGAAAT